CTCTCTCTCTCTCTCTCTCTCTCTCTCTCTCTCTCTCTCTCTCTCTCTCTCCCTCCCTCTTTCCCCCCCTTTCCTTCCTTTTCTCTCGCTGTCTTTCTCCCCCTGCAGGAGGACCGCATTAATCTATCTAATAAACCTCTCAAGTGGCGTCTCAACAGCCTGGTGCGGGCCGACGCGTGAGCAGCGCCAACCACTGACATTTCAAACTGCTACTTCAACGATCGACGAGGACGGCGGCAGTTCGGGAAATAATTGTTTACGATTTTGAAATATATCAACTTTTTCCAGTTGTTTTTGCTGAAGGACAGATAGTGAAATGAAGGCAAGAGTTTTCTTCACTTCTTTCAGGAAGGTTCCTCCAGACTGCCTTCTCTGCAGTTATATTCCTCACCATCAACCCCTCCCCCCTCCCAGACACCCACTGTAAATGTATTCTAACCAAAGAACCACACGGTTTACAATCTGCACCGTACACATACAAAGAAACTAACACAGGCACAACTATCATTCCCGTTCAAAGCAAAACATCCCACCTCAAACACCATCAGATGCTTAAAATGTTTTAAAAAAGACATAAAAAATACTGCGTAATTCTTAGACATTAAAAAGTTTTACAGATTTTTTTAATATGTGAGGCTTGGCAGGCATACTTCTATACCCTGTCAAGTAACCGGATCGAAACTTGCTATGCTATAATTATACATGCATATTCATAATCATCATATAGGTACACATATCCCTACTTTAAAGTTAACTCAGTCACTTTGCACTGCATTATTACATCAGCATCCCTTATTACATATTAGAAACATTTTCAGCTTCCCGGGAAAGGTCGCTGAGAGTTTGCCCTTCAACAAGCACTAACTCACTGACAAGCTCTTTTTCTGTCTTAGCCAGGTCTCCCTTCCTGTCAGAGTGAAGTGAAGGGAAAGTGTGTCTTTGCTAGGGATCTACCGCCGGGCCCTGTCCATATTTTGTACGTACAGTTGTGGATTCGGAAGTATATATATAATAATAATTTCTTAACTCTCTCTCTCTCTCTCTCTCTCTCTCTCTC